TTCCGATGAAGATGAAATTTCGTTTTCCCAAGAGATTGCAATCAAAAAAAACACCAAATGAAAATTTCAAAAACAAACCTCCAACGATGAATCAAATTCAATGTACATGAATGGACTAGTGTTTATGGCCATTATGAAATTGTCTCTGTTTCGAGGATTCTTATTTTGTGGGTCCCTGTCGTTTTCGGGGAAGAAACTGTAAATTTAAAACGTTCGAGTGCACGGTCATTCTTCATTCTTGCAATTCAATTGGGAATGATTCATGTTTTTAAGATGAACGATTGAGTTGATCAGCAAACGAATAACTGCATAAGTAAAAATGAATTCGATGAAAAAATAATAATAACCCAGCAAAACGCACATTTGCCGCATGCCATTCCCTATCGAGATCAAATCCGGCCGCTCGGCCATTGGCCGATGCCGATATCGCCGTATTTCAACTGGATAATTCAGTTGAAAATAGACTCTTGTCACTTTTTCATCGTTCCTCTTAACATGTGTATCAAATATGATGCGTCGAACTGATGTGTATCTTATCTGAAATTTTTAACAAATAACTATTGTAGTGCATAACTATTGTAGTTGTTATTAGAGTTTTTTGTTACTCAGTCTGAATGTTCATCGAAACTAAAGCTGAAATATCGTTGAATTGAAACCAATTTTATTTGATAACAACAAAAAAAAATTGATTGCAATCTTACTCTCACAGCAATTGCCGATGCTGGTATGCGCACTGCATCCTTGGCTGGAGCATATCGCTCGTTCGCCGACGGTTTATAACCACCTCAAGNTTAATATCATCACCATCGCAATTATTCCTATCTACATCCGTAATGCGCCCATTATCATTATTCTTTTAACTAATCCTACTCGAATGCTTATGGTTACAATTATTGTCACTGTTGCTACTCTTATGGTAGTTGCTTGTTATTCGTGCTAAAATTTATGCATTAATAACAAAGACGATTGATGCCAAAACAGATCACAGCTCGAAATCAGAAGCAATCCTGTAGAAGAGAACAGAGTATTCGAACAAGCATCACAACATAACTACTGACCGTCCAATAAAGCGAAGCGTACAGTCAACAGACTACGATCATGTTCCATGTCCACGAACATGGCTTGATCGATGCGCTGATTACTTAAAGAGCTTAGCCATCTGCACGACTGTTGAGCAGCTTGACCCTGTGCAGTTTCACGCTTGAAATGCGAGTAATATGTGGCAGCGTTGATCATATTACCGAAACTGATCGATTGCACCGGTAGTGAGAGATGTGTTGGACTGAAACTGCTACTACTAGTCGTTGATGGAAAACTTTTGCGACAAAGCAGTTTTCACTGCCTTCATTTCCTTTTTTTTTTTTCAAAAGCAGTTTGTTCTCTTCGGCTTTGTTCTCGTACCGATACCATGTCAAATTACTCGTGAATCGGATACTGGCGGATTGGTTTGCCGATCA